GGGCGGGGCCGCGGGGAGGCGGGAGGCCCATGTCCTGAATCGCGTCCTCTCTCTCTGACCCCCTGGAGCAAATGGGCTGGAGTGTATGTCAGTGATGGTGGCTGCGGTGGTGGGACGTGAGGCTGGCGCTGCTCTTGGAATGGCTCCCAAACACACGCAGTTGAGGGAAAGGATCTCAGGAAACTGTCTGTCACCCTCTGCCAGGCATCTCACCTTCAGTGTGCATTCCTCTGTGGGTTTTTCCCACTTGGAAGACATCTTCTCTTTGTGAATTCCTTGGGGCTGCGTCTTATTGTGGCCCACAGGAGCCTGAACCAGTGGGTGGGAGTGCCCCTTCTTAAGTGACTTCCCCTCCCACGTTCCCTAGCTCCCCTCCAATCTCACACACACACAAACACACACACACACACTTTTTCTGGTTTGGGTATCAAGTCAATACCACACACACACACACACACACACACACACACACACACACTGAAGCATAGAAGGGCCTGGCAATGACATCCTGATTTACAGCTGACCTTTCCCCGGGCCCCATCTGGTTCATCTGAATTCAACCAAAGTTTGCTTGACTCCTAGGTCTAGGGCTGGGGTGCAAAGATAATGATGAACCAAGCCTGGGACAGACTGAGAGGAGAGAGGGGGCCGGGAGAGGGGTGACAAAAACAGACATGAGTGGAAAGAGGGGGCACTTTTAATTATTGCGCTTGTTCTTGGATTTAACTCAGGATGAGGGCCTGCCCTGTTTGCACCATGTCAAGGGACAGGGGACAGGAGGTGGATAGCAGCCCAAATCAGTGAACAACTGTAACTTCAGAGGCACCTAAAGACCCCCTCCTTTGCAGCCCACCACCAATAGCTGAAGTTTTGTCAGTGGACTATATTTATTTGGGCTAAATTATTGCCTAGTTTAAGATATAAATCCTTCCTGGAGAAGAACCTTAAAATATCATTCATGTTCTCCCCTTTATATTAACTAGTTAAGTTAGAGATAAAAGAATTGTGAGATTTTCAGAGGCCCAGGAAAGACACACAAAATATATTCCCCTCCAACTTACTTTGTTGATTTTCTGCATTTCGTAACTACGTCATATGGCTGTTTATTTCGTATATAGAATCCAGGCCGAGCAGCAAATGCCTTTATGAGGGGAATGCCATCCACTGGCACCCCAATCCTTCTTTTACATGACCACTGCTCCCTGCAGACTCTCTTCTTTAAATGCTTCCCTCTTGGTTTTAGGGACAAAACTGAGTCCTGGTTCTCCTCTCCCATTGTTACTGAGTTCAAGTTCGAACTGCTCACTGCACAACAGACCAATAAATTGCGAGATGAGTTGTTGGGGCAAGGAACAGCAACTTTACTTTTTATTTTTATTTTTTTTAACATCTTTATTGGAGTATAATTGCTTTACAATGTTGTGTTACTTTCTGCTGTAAAACAAAGTGAATAAGCTATATGCATACATATATCCCCATATGGCCTCCCTCTTGCGCCTGCCTCCCACCCTCCCTATCCCACCCCTCTAGGTGGACACAAAGCACCCTGGGCTATGTGTGATCTCCCTGGGCTATGCAGCTGCTTCCCACTAGCTACTGTTTTACATTTGGTAGTGTATATATGTCCATGTCACTCTCTCACTTCATCCCAGCTTACCCTTCCCCCTTCCCAGCAACTTTATTTTTAAAGCCAGCAGACCAAGAACATGGTGGACTAGTGTCCCAAAGAACCATCTTCCCCGAGTTAGAATTCAGGCTTCTTTTATACTGAAAAGGGAAGGGGTGAGGTTGCAAACTTCTTGGTGCCGGAATTCTTTGTTCCTATAGCCGTCCAGGTAGGTCTGGGTCACAATGTTCCTATAAAGATCCAACAAGACAAATGTTATTCTCTGTTCTGAAACTTTTCATTTCTATATGAATGGGAAAGTGTTATACCTTTAAAGGTCAGAGGCTTGAGAATGGGCTATCCTGTATATTTCAGGCAATTGGCAACATTCTTAACTTGTAGCAAAAGCAATAGAATACAAAGGTTAAAGTAAAAGAAACAGCTTCAATATGGAGTCAGATTTGTCCTTCCCTATTACATCATGAATGTTCTTTTTCAAGCTTCCTCTAAGACAGCCCTGCCTTCACCCATTCCTTAACCAGTGTTCTTTAAGGCTCCATCCTTTGCTCTTTCCTCTTCATCTTCCCATCTAACCCTATGGCTTCAAATACCCCATGCGGGGATTGTAGAGCCCTACGTCAAGGACATAGGATAAAAACTCGGAATTAACCAAGCCCCCAATAGCAATTGTTGACATGGGCTCTTCTAATCTAAACCGGACAGCCCCCCTCACACACCCCCCCCCCCCCCCCCCCCCCCACCAGGAAACTGAACCCCAA